AAAACCTATTATTGCCACCATACTATAGGTTTTTTTTATTTTTTATTTTTTATTTTTATTTTTTAATAAACAAACCACTATACTGTAGGTTAAAATTTACTTTGGTCACTGTGTTGTTCAAAGTTGGCAATTTTGATTATTTCGATGGTTTTAAAAAATATTAAAAAATTCATTAAATGAATAAAATTCATTTTAATAAAAAGAAAATTTGAAAAAGGAGAAACAAAAAGAGGGAAGAATGGAGAGATTAGGGACATCGGAAAAGAGGGACAGCCACCACGCTACCATCAACGGCCAGAAAAGCTAATGACGATTATTTGAGATTTGAAACACAAATTAACAACCAACCTTGACTCACAGCTCCTCTGCTAATTTGAGCGATGAATTTTTTCAACGGGTTCGAATCCGCTAAGTAGAGTAGGTGTGGCCGGGGCAGGGTAGGGAGGGAAGGGATGGGCTTGCCACGGGGGTAGAGAGAGAGAGAGGTGGCGTTGGGGGCGGTCTTTCCCCATGCCCCCCCAATCTCTCGTTTCTTCATTTTTTTCAGTCTTCATTCATTGTAAATGAATTTTAAGTTTTTCAAATTATTATTTTATTCATTTTAATCATTTAATGAATGTTTATAGTACCACGATCTGATGATATTCCTGTTCATTTGAAAGTGAGAGGTATCATGTTTGAATTTTGTGGATGGCGAATTCGATGCCAAATTAGGTTGCCTATTGTGTGACTTAGCCAAACTCCTCATCTTCTTAGTGTAAAAAAATATGTTGATGTACAAAAAAATTGAACGTTTTAATATTTTTTAACTGTAACTAAAGGAAGTAATTAAAATTGTCTTTGAACAACACAGTGATCAAATTAGCTAAATTAAAAAATACGGTGAGTAAAATAGATTCTGACTGATAATGACTTAAATAGTAATTAAAACTGTCTTTGAACAACACAGTGATCAAATTAGCTAAATTAAAAAATACGGCGATTAAAATAGATTCTGACTGATAATGACTTAAATGGTGTAGGCCTATTTGACTGAACAACTAATGGCCTGATTTGTCAAAAACTCATCTCCAACTGATGGTTAGGCTATAATTCTGTGTAGCCCACTAAACCATTATTTGGCCAAAGGGGCATTAGGTTGAGCAAGTCCATCCCTAAAAATGAGCTGGTCAAAAGTTCATTTAATCCATTGAAATGATTAGTAATTGACTCCAATGAACAGTAATTGCCAAGTGCATCTCCACCACTAAAAAATGAGTTAGCCCAAAGTCTAGTCAATTCGTATTAAAATTTTATTAATTAAAAAAAAATATATAAATAATGTTCTTTTTAATTTTGTATAGGATTTTTAATGAATTGTCACGACACATGTCATTATCCAAAAGTACTATCTTTGTGAAAGCTTTGGTTCAAAGTGTTAAAAATATTGAAATATGGTGTACAGTGGAAGATGATGGTTAGATATTTATAGAAAAAAATTAAAAAATTTCGTTTTATTTTTTCTATATTTTTAAACAATTTTTATTAAGTTAATTAATCTGGATTGTTGGATTTCAAAAAGATTGAAATCCAATAGCCCAAAATGGGACATGTGGCCAACAATAATAATTATGACATTTTTTTAAAAAGTGTTTTGGCCGAAAATCTTGGACCGTTGATCTAAGAATCGAACGACATAGATTTTGTCAAGTCATTAGTCGTTGGGTTTGAAGTTCAAAATTTTTGATCATTGAAAATCCAACGGTTCATAAAACTAGCCATTGGAAATCCAACAGCCGAAGACGCGCCATGTGGCACATGTCATGCACCCCTTTAGTGCACTTGCAGTGCGGGCCCACCATTTGTCGGTTATCAGGAACGCACGCCCATGCAGGCATGTTTCCCATGTGCTTGACGCAAAAAAAAAAAAAAAAAAAAACAGGTCTTTGTTGATGTCATGTTGACGTCAGCATGACGTCAGATATGCCAGTTCCTCACTCAGTCCATTTTGGGCTGGCCTACAGACTGGGCTGGACTATTTTGTGGGGTGGAGTGGGTTTTTTGGGTGCCAGAGAACTTGCTCTTAGAGCTTTTTTGGGACTCAGTGTCACATCCCGGCCCGGGTGGCACTATTTCCCAGGCCCGCTCCACTACCGTAGCACGATATTGTCCGCTTTGGGCTTACCATTCCCTCACGGTTTTGTTTTTGGGAACTCATGAGCAACTTCCCTGTGGGTCACCCATCATGGGATTGCTCTAGCCCCCTTCTCGCTTAACTTCGGAGTTCCTACGGAACCCGAAGCCAGTGAGCTCCCAAAAGGCCTCGTGCTAGGTAGGATGGGAATATACATTTAAGGATCAGTCCCCTGGGCGATGTGGGATGTTACAATCCACCCCCCTTAGGGGCCCGACGTCCTCGTCGGCACATTCGCGACCAGGGTTAGTCTCTGATACCAAAATGTCACATCCCCGCGCGGGTGACACTACTTCCCGGGCCCGCTCCACTACCGTAGCACGATATTGTCCGTTTTGGGCTTACCATTCCCTCACGGTTTTGTTTTTGGGAACTCACGAGCAACTTCCCTGTGGGTCACCCATCATGGGATTGCTCTAGCCCCTTCTCACTTAACTTCGGAGTTCCTACGAAACCCGAAGCCAGTAAGCTCCCAAAAGGTCTCATGCTAGGTAGGATGGGAATATACATTTAAGGATCAGTCCTCTGGGCGATGTGGGATGTTACACTCAGCTCCTCAGTTGCAATAATTGATTCAAATTCAACATTTATATTTGAAAAAATCCAACGGTAGTTTAACTAAATTACCAATAAATTTAAAGTATAAACTTAAAACCAATAAATTATTGAGAGGGCTATGTTTAGCCTCTTCAGTTAGAGATGGTACATGAGTATGACCTAACATTGTTTATTAAAAAATAATTTTTTGCAAGGGTATAATTCTGGACGGGGCTATGTTTAGCCCTTTTGGTTGGAGATGGCCTAAAAGGACATAGAGAGAAGAGGTGCGGAACGGCAAGAAAGAGAAGAGAGAAATAAATTCTAGGTCCGAATAAAGTTTCTTCTCGTGCTCCAAGTTGGTGCGGAAGTAGTAGTAACACCAAACCTAAAGCCAGTTGTATAAGGTGTAAGAATAGCTGTCAGTAAAGACGAAGTTTGTCTGATCTGAATACAGTTTCTTCTTTTGCTCTGAGTAAAGACGGAGTTGGAAGGGAAGAAGAAAAAGGGGCCAGAGAAGAAAGAATTTGGGCGTGCGAAAGCGAAAAATGAGGATATGAGAGAGGACTAGGATTATCTCCCCTCCTATTTCCATCCCCTCCATCCCTTCTCTCACATTCTTTATTTTGTCTTTCTTTTTTTTTTTTTTATAAAAAGTTAATATAAGATGTTGACGTGATTTAACCGTCACCATACAAATATGAGGGAAGGAAAGAGGCGGGAAAAAAAGAGAGGAGATAATCCTACTCCTGAGAGACTGCGGAGCATAAGAAAGAGAAGATGAGGAGAACATTGTGTTTCAATCATGTGCTGACAAGGTTTTGCAAACATTAGGGTTTTTTCAATGTGCGCTCTGTGTTTGAAAAATAGAAAGTGTGTTCTCTATTTATAATGGATGCAAAAAAGGTGTTATTTGGGTTAACCCAAAACAAATAGTAAAATCTAGCCCACTTAGGCCATCTCCAACCGAAGGGTTTAGAAGGTCAGAGGGCCGAAAATAACCCGAAAACAGTCTCCAATTAAGGGCTAGGCCAGAGGGATGTGGAATCTGAGAGGGCCTCACGGAATTGGAGAGGGCTGGAGGGCTAGCCAGAAAAATCATCTTTCCTGTCAGTTATAACCAACATGAATGCTTAAGAAAAATATTCAAATGCAACAACTAGCTGACGTCAGCTAGCCGTTACTTTTGATTTTTTTTTTTTTAGGTTTTTTGGGCCTTTTTTTTTAATTCTTAAAATTTTTTTTTTTTTCCTATAAATCCCTAAACTATTCATTCACCATTCCTTTAAATTTAATTCGTCGTTTTTAAATATAAGTTGTAGTTTTTAAATTTAAGTTGTTGGATTTGAATTTAAGTTGTTGTAGTTTTTAAATTTAAATAATAAATTATGTTTGGCCCTTTCGGTTAGAGACTGTTTTTTTTGTGACAGGGCTAAAACGAGCCCTATGACCCTCGGTTGGAGACGGAGACAAATATGGCCCTGTACTGTTCATTAAAATATTAAGATCTTAGAGGGCCAGATGACTAAAACTAGCCCTCTGGCCAGCTCTCGGTTGGAGATGGCCTTAGAGCGGGATGCGCACCTATCACATGTATGTTTCATTCCAGTAAGCCCAATTTGGATTGTGGGAAGATTGGGTTTGGCAAAGGAAAATACAATCATATTAAAAATAAGTAGTCATACGATGTTCTAGAATCTCCAAATGATTATAGTAATTTTTTAGTCCATCGATATATTTTTACACTAAGAAAATGAAGAGTTATTGAATAACCTAATTTGTTATCGAATTCGTCATCCACAAGATTCGAATCTAAAATATCTCACTTTCAAGTAAAGAGAAATATCACCAGACTATAGTATTGAGTGACAAACGTTCATTAAATGATTATAATGATGCTCGAACTTTTCTCCATTCTTTCCCTCATACCAAAATCCTCAACACTCGACAAGAAGCTAATAGGGTGGCTCACACTTTGGTAAGAGTTGCGCTATCTCTGGAACAACATGTGGTGTTGTTTGAAGAATCCCCAATATAATCATTCATCTTTTAATGGTAGATGGTACTGTTTTATAGTTTTTGATGCGAGGTGATCTTTTTTTCTTCGATTGGGTTGAAATGTCAAGCAGATTTTTTATCAAAGTCTACTGAATTACATCCTATCCTCCAATTTGCACGTATTCGCTAAATTATATCAATGAATATTGTTCATTTCTTAATAATAAAAAAAAAGAGTGCCCTTAGCACTCTTGGTGCAAAATATTGTTGCATATAAAAAGCAAAAAGAGCAGTAACAGGAACGAGGCAACCCCAATCTGCTACGACCAATCCATGGCGACCGAGCCTCTTCGCACCACCGCAACCCCAGCAATTCACGCGGCGGCGCTGGCAAAAGAGAAACGACCCCGTTCCATCTTCGACGTCGGGGCCGACTTCTTCGACTCCTGCGAGCTCCTTCATTCTTCTGGCCTCTCTAGTGCCCCAACCACCGAGGCCTCCAATTACAATTCCGCCGTCGAAACCCTAGACGACTTCGATCCAGAGTGCAATGAACAAAACCCCTCCCAAAACGTCGTCGTAGCAGGACCCCGGTGGACCTGCAACACTTGCAAGGCCGAGTTCGATTCCCTCCAAGACCAGCGCTCGCACTTCAAATCCGACATTCACCGATTCAACGTAAGTTAATTGTTCAATACAAGTTTATAGTTTTCAATTCCCGCCATTTGGTATATTCAATGAATACTCGTAATTGAGGAAAACCTCGAAATTTTGGGGCTTTGATACACTGTTTGTTTAGAATTGTGTAATATTTTTGTATTGATTTCGTTTAAATTTTTTATTTTTAATCAAATTTCCGTTTGGTAAATGCGAATGCTTGAATTTTCAAGCTTTACTGTTCTTTGAATGGATATGTTTTTGCCCTTTTGCAATCAACATTTTGCTTTTTATCCAATCAAATTGCGTATCTGATTCGACTGTTTGATATGTGGGAGGATTATACTTATTATTTTCCTTTGGGTGATGCTAAAGAGACTATCTTGTTAAACCATATTTTGTAAACCAGTGGCGGTTGACGGTTGTCTTCTTTTAAATCATTAAAAAAATTCAACCATCAAGTGTCACATCATGTAGTTTACAAATATGGTTTAAAAAGATGGTCATTTTCCTTTTTCTTTACACTCTTTCGTTACTTGGTAGTTCAATTCTCAGCTGTAATGTGAATGTGTGTGTTTTGGGGCGCATAGTAATTACTTCATTATGTATGATCATAGGTGAAGTTAAGTGTTGCTGGAAAGAGTATTGTGAAGGAGGATGACTTTGATGAGTTAACATCCGATTCTTTTAAAGACTTTGATGTCTCAAGTATATCGGGGTCAGATGAAGATGAACCTGAAAGGGGAGTTCGCTCTTTGAAGTTTTCAAGGGAAAATATCAGGCAGAAGTTATTCTTCCACCTTCCGACTGGTGAGAGGGTTTCGGTTTGGAAGTGTTTAGTTACAAATGATTCTGGACCTGAAGGTACTTTGTCAGACGAGGAAGTGAGAGAGAGATTGAAAACGTTGGTTCATGAACCTAGGGATAAGACCCGTTTAAGAATCGTGTTGCTTGCAAGTGGTGGGCACTTTGCCAGTTGTGTCTTTGATGGTAACTTGGTTGTGGATCACAAGACCTTCCACAGGTTGGATTATTAATTCTGGTTATATTTCAGTTAAATTTTTTATTCATTTTTATTTGTGATTTTTATAATTCTTTATTTTTTTATTTAGATATGTTGTAAGGGGCAAGGCTGGAAAAAAACAGTCATCCAAAGATGCAGGTGGCAGGTTTGCTCATTCTGCCGGAGCTTCTATGCGTCGCTATAATGAACTTGCTTTGAAAAAGGTATTCAACTTGGTGACATCTCTATTTGATTTTGTGACAATGCTATGCCAAAATAGTTTTCGACTCTTTTATGATGGATATTCTTATGATAACATGGTTGTTTATTGTCAAAATGAGGTCACTGATAAAACCTGTCACAAGTTTCGATTTGATTGCCAGTACCTAGTTTGATGAGATATGGGTACAATTTAGTGTAGTATTTTCAAGACACTTCATTTCATTTGGCCGAATATAAAGATTCCCTTCCAATTAATGGCACGTTGCTCGAAATTTTGCTTGCTAATACTTTCCAATCCAAATACAAATTCTACCACCTTTGAGTCGGAATTTATTTTCTACATTTGTAATATATATTAATGGGATCTTTTCCTTCAAATTTTTTGTTGTGTCATACTATTATATAAAAGATCTTGAAAGCAATAAGAACTGTTGCCTTAGTTGGATGGAATTATATTGAGGCCATGCATGATGTTTTAAATTGCCTACTGAATATTGTAAAGGTTGATTGATCCAAAAATTCTACATTCTAGGAAATTCAAGAGCTGCTTGCTGCTTGGAAGCAATACTTTGATTCTTCCTCTTGCGTTTTTGTTTATGCTCCTTCTAGCAATCATCAGCTGCTTTTTAATGGGGACAACAAACCATATTTTAGTCATCAGAATTGTGTTGTTCAAAATGTTCCAATGACTGTTCGGAGACCTACTTATAAGGAAGCTCGGCGTATATATGAGCAATTGACCCAAGTTGTTTATGAACTAGATGAAAATGTAGCTCCACCAAGTTTCAAAGAGGACCCGCCACTTACTTCAGGTATTAACAGCGACCTCATCCCAAGAATGAACAAAGTCGATATTGCTGACAGTTCAGATTATCGAGAAAAACCTGAAGCTTGCCTAGACAGTAGAAAGTCCAATGAATTCCCTATATCAAGTGACAGTGATGGTGAGGAAATATGTTCGTCAACACCCTTGCACGAAGCAGCGCAGTCTGGAAATACTCTTAAGGTTTTGGAACTATTGGAACAGGGCCTGGATCCTTGCATCAAAAATGAAAGGGGACTGACTCCATACATGCTAGCAAGTGATAAAGAGGTCAGAAACACATTTAGACGGTTCATGGCCTCAAACCCGGATAAGTGGGATTGGAATTCTGCTAAGGTACCTAGTCCATTGACAAAAGAGTTGGAGGAATCTCAAGCTGCTAAGCAGGTAATCCATTGCAGCACTTTACCTAGTTTCTGTTAATGGTTTGATGCATTTGCCAACTCAGATCAAATAGGGAAAGAAAACAAAACTTTGCCATTCTTTGTTTTCAGCAGTGTAATTACCTAGGTGATTCTATTTAAACCCCGAAGCTTGTTCCCTTATCCTGCCCTCTCATCACTAAATAATTTTTGTTTTCTGATTTTACTCCTTAATTATAAAAGAGAGAATTAAAATAAGGGAGTTTTAACGAAAAGCCCGTGGTACTGTTCACTTTAACGAAAAACCACATTTTTACACTAAAAAGTCAATCTTGGTACTATTCACTTTACTCTTTATTTTGTCCTTATCATTAAAACTCAAAGTTTTCAAGCTCTTTTCATTAGTTTTCCTTTAAAATAATTCTTCAGCTCCCTTATTTTTCCAGTGATTTAGGCAATTAAGTCTTGCATGTTTTTTGAGAAAGATTGTGTTGCTAGTAAGTTAAATGCAGGCTTTTTTATTTTTTTTTATTTTTTTTACTATAATCATGGAGTTATACTGAAAATATGAACTTAGATAAAGATTAAAGAGTTTGTGGTTCTGTCGTTTATTGTGATTGGAGCACAAACAGTATTTTCTTAGGGAAGTGTATATGCAGTACAACATTTAAACCCTTCTATTTTATGTGCCTGCTTACCTTTGGTTTGGTTATTGATTGTCCTCTCAATGATGTGGCATCTTGCCTATGTTAATTTTGTGAAGCCTCTTTCCAGCAGTGTTTGGTTAAATGTTGATACCTGAAAAATTGAATATGATCTGCCTTCATTTTTTGTTGTTCAGGCTGAAAAAGATGCCAAAAGGAAAGCAAGAGCAAAAGAATTGAAGAAATTACGAAAAGAAAAAGAAAAGAAAGCTCAGGTACGTATTATACTTGCTCCTTCTTCTTTTTGTTTTTTACCCTCAAAGCATGTTAGAGATTATCTTCTTTTTCCTGGGGACTTGGCTTTGGTTCTAAATTTTCTGAAGAATCTTTCAGGATGACAATTTCAATCATGTGAATGATGCACTTTTGCAATGGTTGTTATAGCCTTCATGCAGTGATCTTTTGAAATTAATTTGTAGGTTGCATCAGTTGATTCACACCTTCCTCAGCATTCATCGATTGGTGGCACCGGAAACAGAGAGTTTCTAATTTCTGTTTCTATTTTGTGCATCTCTCTTTTTTTGGTTACATTTAAAAAGTGAAAAGTTTGAGTAAATTTTGGAATCATTTATGTTAGGGTTTATTTTGGGTAGTTGTAAGGAAGGTTTTATCGATTGTAATGCAGAAGCAACAACTGACATCATTCTGTCAACTAGCTATGTAATATGCATAATATTCTTCTCTTTTTCTTTGTCTATATTTTCTTTCTTCAATCTTTCTATGGCATTTGGTATACTACAATCTTCGTCATATGAATATGCAGGCTGAGGCTGCTGCTTCCCAAAAAGCTTCGACGTCTTCTAGTCTTAAGGGAAAGCCTCAACCTAGTTCTGGATCACATATCTCTAAAGAGGTCGGTTGGATTTTTTACGACTGCTTATGTACCATTTTAAACTATGTTGGCTTGTGTTCTCAATATCTTCTTTCTTTACTTTCTGCTCTTTATTCATCCTGTTTAATGTGCGAACCGTACTTTAAGTTTGTTTCCCCCTTGTTGATCCCTTATCAGGAGGAACTGAAAAGGGCGCAGGCAGCTGAGAGGGAGAAAAGAGCAGCTGCTGCGGAGAGGAGAAGAGCAGCAGCTGAAGCTCTTAGCGCCCAAGGCAATAGCAGTACTGTTACAACGAGCACTGTTCAGCCCAAGAGCGGGGAAGCTGGCGACATTAACTGCTCCTGTTGTAATGTATCACTGGCTGGTAAAGTTCCTTTCCATAGGTACAATTACAAATACTGCAGCACATCATGCATGCATGTGCACCGTGAGATTCTTGAGGATGAATGACATAGAAACTACTGGTGTCACTTTACTTTCATGTTGCTACGTCAATTACAAAGCATTCATTTCCGTCGTTCTGTATCATCTTGTTCCATCATTCTACATTATTGAAGTAATTGAGGCCTTTTACCAATTTTAAAGCGTTATAATTGCTTTTGCAACAACAAAGGGTTTATCTGTGAAAGATTTCAGCTGGTGTCCTTATTTTGATTAGCTCGATGGGAGACCAACTCCCCTGAACAGAGCCAAAATCCTTTGTCATAGCCTGAATTAGATGACGGAAGCCCTTAAGTTGAGTGCCAAATTAAGCACCATTTCTCATCTCTAATGAGTAGTCTAATCACACCTCCCTCCCCCTCCGATTACATGATTTGCAGCCATCAACGATGAGTTTAATGCCGCGAATTCCTTGTTGAATCTCGGTGTTCCTCCATGAAGTTGTAACAAGTATGTACCGTCACAATAAGTAACACAACTTATTAATGAGTTGCATTTCTTATCAATTTATCAAATTCTTTGGTTGTTTGTGGTGAGAACACCAATATTATGTTGCCCCTCAACATCATGCACACATTGCAAAGCGATGATCATCGTATTCCAGTATCGATCTTAATGTTGTAAGGTTCTAATAGCTACGTAGCATGAATGTCTCATCATTTTCCAGTATCTCGCACTTGATCTGAATGTTTCCATGACTTTGATTGCTCGCGACCATTCCAACTCAAGTTTTGCAAATTGACGTCGGATTTTATGCGACCTCTACGTCCGTCTGATTTTTGCCAACATCACTCACCGCACTTGCACCAGCGATTTCATTTTACTACCGAGACTCTATACCTAGTAAATAAGAGCAACCTAAACCGAAGGGTTGACATTCTGATCAAGTATGTCCATAAAAGCCTTTCTAGATTTTTTTTTTCTTGATATACATTATCAACAACTTTACAACACGAACCAAATGTTTGCCTCAAAAGAACCTTTAATCAAAATTATAATGATCATCAATTTTAATGCGTAAAGCACCGATGCAGCCGTTATCAAAAATTGGATTTTTATTTATTTCTTTTTCATAAAAGAGGATAACAGGTGGCAAACTATGATTATTCACCATTTTCGGCGGCCGGAAAGACCAAGTGGCCCAGTACTAAGAGTGCAGACTGCAGTTCCCCAATAAACAAAAAGATGTGCGAGGTCTCGGGTTCGATGCTCCGTGCTAGTGAATCTGTTTGACTGTGTTCACGAACATGGTGAAATTCTCCATAGCCTCTCCGGGCTCGAAAATGAGTAGATAATTGTGGCTTGCCATCAGACCACGGACATAGTGAAATTTTAACGACAATGTACAACCCCATCATGCTCCAGTTAAGAATAATCTAGTGTACAAACCGACACCGCAACCCCTAGAGCAGATATAAATACAGCCCGAGCAGGAGCAGCACAACACAAACTCCTCTTCCGCAATGGTAAGTATTTCTCCGCCTGATTCCGTCCAACACCTTCGCTTCCGTAAAATTTCTACTTCGAAACGGCTCGCCTTCCTCGATTTCTTCCCCTCTCTTTTTTCTGCTATTTGATAATTTATGTTCTCTGTTTCAGTCGGTCACTCTGCACACGAATCTGGGCGACATCAAGTGCGAAATTTTTTGCGATGAGGTCCCCAAAACCGCCGAGGTCGGTAAACAAAACTTTGTAACCTGAGGATTCTGATTCACTTTCTGTTTGTTTACCGGGAAAATTTTATCTGGGCTTTGTTTGATTGGGACTACTACTGGAAATTTTTATTACGCCTGAAATTTATTGTTGAATTTGTTGGGGGAATGCTTGTTTGATTCGAATATTGTTTTGTCAAAAATCAAATCTTCAATATTCTATGTATTCAAAACAATTATGTTGGATTGCCCAAAATTTCGTTTCTGTAAGTTGTTTATGAATGGATTTGTTATTTGAAACGTTCATGGAAGACTTGCCCGACTGCTTTGTTCTGAGTGATGTATCGTTGATTTTCAGCTAAGAGTGTGCTGGATTGATGCATTGCATTGTTAACACACAACTCAGTCTTATTTTTTGGCAGTAAATTAGAGATACAGAAATGCTGTTTTGTTCATGGTGGTGATACCTTTGTGCTCACTCTCGTGTTTAATTTCGATACAGAATTTTTTGGCATTATGTGCTAGCGGGTATTATGATGGAACGATATTTCATAGAAACATCAAAGGTTTTATGATACAAGGCGGAGACCCAACGGGTACAGGCAAAGGGGGGACGAGTATATGGGGCAAGAAGTTCAATGATGAGATAAGAGAGTCTCTCAAGGTAATCATGTTTTGAAGCTTGAGCTTGCTGGGTTAAGCTCGGTTTTATTACATTGTCTCGAGCGGATATCTTATACCATTGGTCAATAGTTTGCTCTATTGTGCAACAATTTATGCCTAATTGCCATAATGTTCTCCATGTTTTATTCTAGCACAATGCAAGGGGGATACTATCAATGGCAAATAGTGGTCCCAATACCAATGGAAGCCAGTTCTTCATCAGTTATGCAAAGGCGGCACATCTAAATGGGTTGTATACCGTGTTTGGCAAGGTTATACATGGGTTTGAAGTTCTTGACATCATGGAAAAGGTATGTGCTAGCTAAGCCAAGATTCCGTTTGTGGAAATAAAGTTAAATTTGCCATCGTGCAGCTTATGAATTGGGATATTGGTTCTTTCAATTCATCGGATGTTAACCTTTTTTTTCTTTAGCACAACTGTTCCTCTGTGATATATGCAAAAGATATCGAGTTGAATTGCCAATGTTTGATTTGAGTTGTTCATTGTCTTTGGCGTTCTTTTTCAATACTGGTGTTTGGATTTGTGCAGACTCAAACTGGACCTGGGGATCGTCCTCTTGCTGAGATCAGGCTCAATCGAGTGACCATACATGCTAACCCGCTTGCTGGCTAGCATCCACTGCTGACCGGTGGGCATCACACTCTCTGGAGGTCTTGTACTTAGGACGTACACTAGCAATCACGGGCACTGTCATCACCAGTAGAATATGTAATTTTGGTCGCTTCGTAAATTGATTTCTAGATCGAGCATTTTAGTTATACTGTTCTGAACTTCTGAAAGATGCTATTTCATTTTATGATAATTACGCTGTCGATGTAGGGTTTAACTTGAAATTAACAGAGCTTGTACGTGTGTGTTTCTGTTTGACCCGAGCTTTTCCGGCTCCTAATGAACAATCATTGTTGTCTTGGGTTGCAAGAGTGTTTGACTATTTTTCCGTTCATGTATTGGTAATTTGTGAAGCGTATGCATTTTATTCTAAAGGAAAATGTGCACAATGGCAACTGAAGCAGTTGGAAATGTAACTTGAATGCAGCAATTCAAATTCCTAATGTAAATATTCTTTTGGGCTAACAGCTTCGTTCAATTCAAGCAGTTGGTTTCAATTTGAGGTTTTGAAATTGTATTAATTTACGATTGTTTTATAGCTTTAAGTTTAACGATTGTTCGTGAAATTGATGATGTTGCAAATGTGAGTTGTTTTCAAGTTGCGTAAGCCACACAGGCTACTGGGACCAAAAATTTATGATGGACTGTTTTTGAAAACAAGACATTGACTAAGGAGATATTGAAGCTTCTTGACGATTTATTTTTTAAAATGTGGTTCGAGTGAGGCCTCTAGTCTTCTACATACCTTATATACGGGTCTCACACTTAGTATGTCTTTAATTTAAAAAGGACTTAGTCGAACTGACGGCAAACACAAACTTATGAGAATTTAAAACTTATGGTGCAATGTGGTTATTAGTTCTACGGTTTAGTGATATTTCTCTTCATTTGTAAGTGAGAGGTTTTAGGTTCAATTCTTCTACAAAAGCGAATTTGAACCAAATTATTGCTAGCCCTTTATGAGGTTAAGGCCCATCCTCACCCCCCCTCTTTTAAAATAGATAATATTGTTTGTTAAAAAATATATATAATTAAAAAAAAAAAAAAACCTTCTGGTGCAATGTGACAAAATTCGAACTTTGTAACTCATTTTGGAAAATGGACATTTTGACATAGACACCTCGTTTTGGAATGTTATAGACTAGCCATCTCTTCCTTTTTAAACTTTGATTCCAATGGTATTTGACACACCCCAATCCCGATGTCTTGGGGACATCAGGATGGCAACGTGTTGGCTGACACTCAAGGATGAAGCAAGTCATTTGATGAATGCATATACTGAGAACATGTGAAACATGCATGTAAATTTCGCGTGAACTACGCAATGTAATATTCCAACATAATCCTTATAAAATAATATAATAATATTCAACTGCCAACAATGATAATGATAGTGATAATGCATGACATGTTCAGAGCATACATCTAATTTAGAATACAAGCAAAATGTGCTATTACAATGATGTCAAAGCAGAAGGGATGGCATGATGTCACTGGTGGGGGAATGTCTCGTAGCTCGGATCGTAAGCCTCTTTCCTACGTCCTAAGGGGGCGCAAAACAAACATGAGTGGACCAATTTGATATATAAGTAGTGCAAACATAGTTATTCAACAACGTACTAACCCCCAAAGTTTATGAAAACTAATAGCATAATATGTAATAGGTTTCCAAAAACCCTAGTATGCCATAAAACCTTTCATAAAATATATATTATATCTAGTGTGCTAACTTGTGGTATCATAATTGCCCAAATGCTCTCCATCATGTGCCTATAAGCAGGACATAAGCCCGTAGGCAGAACATACGTCCCGTAGGCAGAACATACCCCCGTAAGCAGGACCGTCACGCGCCCGTAGGCAGAACTATCGTCTGTAGGTAGGACATACCCCTGTAGGTAGAACATACACATACACCCATAGGTAGAACATATGCCCGTAGGTAGGACATATGCCAATAGGCAGAACATACACCCGTAGGTAGAACATACGCCCGTAGGCAGGACATATGCTTGTAGGCAGAACATTGACCAGTAGATACGTGCAAAAACATTGAATATAATCTTTCTATCATAAGTACATATATCTCAAAACATCTTCATAGTATATAGTCATCCATCATATATACTACAAAAAGTGTAAAAACATGTTCATAAATAGTATATAGTCATCTATCATATATACTACAAAGAACATAAATTCGATAAAATATGGTATTCCAAAATATTCTTAGTAAAGCATGATAATCATAAAGTGTAAATCTAATTTACTCATAAAATGTAGCTAATAAATCATGCTTTTCATGTATGCATTTTTACTATTAAAATATGCATTTTAGAAGGGGTCCACTCACAAATACTTTGTATTTGATGAGCCGTGCGAAATAGGAAGGATGAAATCTCTGCTAATAGTCACACCTAAGCACATAAAGAATCCAATTAATAAAACTTAATCATAACGATTGAATTTCGGGAAATAGATGTCATAAACGGATTCAGGACATCGAAAAACATAAAGGGGGACCTTAGATACCCCTATGGGCCACCATGGGTTGCCGGAAAGTTAGCCGGAAAAGTCGACGGCTCCAACGTAGACGGCGGCATGTGTACTCCACGCACCGGCATCGGTGGCCCTTCATGCGCGCCCATGCATAGCCTAGGTTAGGGTTTTAACTCAGTTTGGGCCTGGGCTTTGGGCTTGGGCTTTGGGCTTGGGTCTAGGGTTTAATGGGCCAAAGGCTCGAGTTCTACACGACCTAAGGGCCTAGGCTCAAAAGGATTTGAGCTTGGGTTCTAACGGGTTTTGGGCTTGAAAGCCTGGCCCAAGTCACTAGGTTTGAGGATTTTATATGGGTTGGGTTTGGTTTCAACAGGCCGAATACCCTAGTTCTACACGGCCCAAAGGCCCGGTTCCTTTGGGTTTTTGGGTTAAAGGTTTTGAGTTTTGGGCTTGGGGAAATTGGGTTGGGCTGGCCCAATTTCAATTCATAGGTCGTCGAACCCAATGAAGGAGAAGGCCGAATTCCGGCTGGGGAACTATCGAGCTCCAATTCACAACTATCCCTAGCATGCAATATACCAAAATGAAGCTAGGGAGACAAAGATTTGAAATATATCCAATCTGGGCCCAAACGTGGTTGGAGTTGGCCGGAGAAACCTTGCAAACCTTCAATATTCGCCAGAAAGTTGAGAAATGCTTCCCCGAGTTATTTTTGTGCGTAAACCTTCACCAAAACTGTTTTCCATTCAATAACCAAGAAGTTTAAACTATGAGGGAATGAGATCGAATGATGGTTTTGACTTACCTTCGTTGGAACAAGCTTATACTGTGACTGCAACGATGTTGGGAAATAGAGAGAAAGAGTTGGGTGTTTGGTCGAGGTTGGTGTTCATCGTCACTCCAACAAGTGGTGGTGATGGTGTGCATGTGTCGTCGGATAGGTGAGAGAACAGAGAGAGATCTATGAAAGAGGGAGAACGAGTTGAGAAAGAGAAAGAGAAAGTTGACTCGGGGCAGAAAAGAGAAGAAGAGAGAGGGAGATATGGGTGTGCCACGTGGCAGGCAAGCAAATGAGGAGAGTTAGGAACAAATCCCAAAAAGAAACCGGATTGGATTGTGGATATGGGACAAAAAGGTAATTTCATAATTCCCGTTAAATGAAATTACAATTAGTTTATGGCGGGGTTTCACAATCTACCCCCTTAAAATAATTTCGTCCCTGAAAATGAAATTACAACCTCAAATAAATAAATACAGGTACTAGCTCCTCATCAGTTCCTCCGTTTCCCATGTTGTTTCCTCGACTGCATGGTTTCTCCACAACACTTTTACCAATGGGATGACTTTGTTCCTCAGAGTTTTATCCTGTCGGTCAATGATCGCCACTGGTTCCTCAACATAACTCGCATCCTGATTCATTTCTAATGGTTCCGGCTGAATGACGTGATAGGGATCTGATACATACTTCCGAAGCATGGAATCATAAAAGACGTTGTGATTCTATGACAACTCTGGTGGTAGCTCTAATCTATAAGCAACCTCACCAATTCTCTTCGTAATCTGGTAGGGGTCGATGTATCAAGGACTCAACTTTCCCCGCTTACCAAAACGAACTACACCTTTCCAGGGCGATAACTTTAGAAAGACAAAGTCACCAATGTCATACTCACGATCCCTGGAATGTCAGTCCGCAATACTTTTCTGTCGATCTTTTGCCGCCTTCAGATTCATCTTAATCAACAATTTCTGGTCCTACTAACACCCATTCATCGACCTTCGTCCAACACAACGGTGTCTGGCATGTTTTCCCATACATTGCCTTAAACGGTGCCATGCCGTTACTAGAGTGGTAGTTATTGTTGTAGGCAAACTCGATCAGAGGCAAATAGTTATCCCAACTACTTTTCCACTAGAGAATATACACTCTTAGCATGTCCTCCAAAGTCTAAATCGTTCTTTCAGATTGACCATCAGTCTGTGGATGATAGGCAGTGCTGTACAACAGTTGAGTACCATGGCGTCATTGAAAGCTCTAAAAAACCTGGAGGTGAATCTTGGATCTCTATCTGAAACAATAGTAATGGGCACACCGTGAAGTTTAACGATATTGTTAGTGAATAATCATGTTAACCTCTCTAGTGTGTAGGCCTGTCGAACAGGTAATAAGTGAGCAGTCTTGGTAAGTTGGTCTACAATCACCCATATGCCATTAAACCTCGACCGCCTGCTCGGCAAACCATACACAAAATCCATGGTGATGTTTACCTACTTCCATGCTAGTATATGGAGATTCTACATCAGCCCTTTAGGTCTCTGTTTGTTCACTTTCAACTGTTGGCAAATAATACATCTCTTCACATACTCTGCCACATCCCGTTTCATCCCATATCAGTAATAGAACGGACGGATAGTGTGATACAATTTGGTACTCCCCAGATGCATGGCATATGCCGAAATGTGGGATTCAACAAGAATTTCCTTCTTCACCACTTTATTGTCCTTAGGCACGAACAACCTATTTCTCATCACCAAGGCTCCATCTCTCCAAATTTTCAAATCTTACCTAGAACCATTATGCACCTGTTCATTTAGGTCTGCACACCGTTAGTCAAGCTCCTGAGCTTCCCGAACCAAATCTACCAACACATGCCTAATCTGGAAGTGTGCTAACAATGCTCCCTGTGAATCTGGTGTCACTGCAATGCCAGTCTCTTGAAGAGAAAACAATAGCTGAACATGGATAGTTCGAAGAGAGGCAAACTGTCCATAGGATTTTTGGCTAAGTGTGTTCGCTACGACATTTACTTGACCAT